GGATAACTCAGTTGTTGTAGAAGCTTCCTTTCTTCCTTTTAGTCAAATTTGAGGATGCTTCCCTTTAATATACCGTTAAATGCCTCCTCAACGTCGGGTTGCCCTGATAATTCCTCTTTAGCAAACGAAAAGGAAGCAGCAATGGTTCTTGTTGGAATCAACATCGTGGCAAGTATTTTAGGCACCTTGGGTAACTTATTCGTATGCATTACAGTGTGTACCACTCGAGGCATGGTCTCAAGTTTTCATTACTTCATCGTAAGCCTTGCTGCCGCGGATTTGATGGTTGCACTCTTGGATCAACCTCTCCTCGTTTCTATGATTTTTGCACACGTAAAATTCAAATGTATTCCGGTCGTGGATAAAATGTGTCGCGCAATAGGCAACTTTGCGTGTGCTGTCTCGTTGTTGACACTGGCCTTGATTGCTCTCGATCGGTGCTTGTTTGTATTGCCATCGATTAATTACAAGAATACGATGACAACAGGAAAAAAAATAGTTTTAGCAGTGGTGTGGACTTTAGCTGGTGGATACGCTGCTCTAAGGCTCACTATGAACAAAACGGTCACATCCTATCTTACTGCCGCCGTGTTTGGCGTTTGTTACGTAGAGATGATTCTATGTTACACAGTAGTTTATTACCAAGTCTTCAAACAACGCGAATTTCTCAAAGGGTCACGTGTACGCTCTGAGACAACAGAGCAAGTCGAATCACTGGAAAACAAAGCCCAAGAAAATATTTCAGAGCGCCGTTTTGCTCGCACGATCGTTATGGTTTTGTTGGTTTTCACGGGAGGATGGTTTCTCCTTTTCTATCTTCGGTTGACACAACCTAAAAAGAACTACGGAATCATGTACAATACTGGACGCACTATGGCACTTTCAGCTTTTGCCATAAACCCTGCACTATACTGCCTCAATAATAAAGAATATTGGCGAGCGTTCAAAAGTATTTTAATGAAATTCGTCTGTGTTCTTTCAAAGAGAAAGCGAAGGGAAAACTATGAACGGATTATGTGAAAGCGGAAGTGCAACCCCGGAAGTGAAACTTAGGAAGTGACCGTGACATACTCATGTGACTATGAGACATTGCAAAGTCAAAGTGGTGTGGAGGACATTTCTTTGCTGTGTAAAAGTGAAAAAATAATGAAACAATATAAAGACGATATGTAGCGAAATGGAAAAGTAAGTGAGTTTGTTCTGCTTTGTTAATCTTTTAACCAGATATAAATTTTTGTTTTGGAGCAGTGCTTACCCAAAAAAATCGTATACAGGATATACAACTTCATTTCCAGGGTCTCTTCTTTCCGTCTTCCTTCTGTCGCTCCTCTTGGTGGGAAGACGGGTTAAGTGGGTATATTTCCGTGGACCGGAAGTGTTTATGAGGACGTTTTCGTGCGCGATCTACATGTTTTGTTAGAAATTCTTTTTTTAGTCTCCAAGATTTTCTGTTTTCGTTTAGATCATCGTTCAGGGCACACAATTAATGAAAGAGGAGACACGGGAAACTTAGTGAACGCAGAAGTTACAAATTAACATTTAATTGAAATGCGCAATTGAAAATTCTTATATTGATAATTGCGCAATATAAGTCTAGAAATTATTTTTATTTTAAATTAAACGGTCATTCTCGCACTCTTTATATGGAAAAGGAATAGAGGAATATATGTGTATATATATATAGATACACAGATAGATAAATAGAGATGGATTTAGATGTAAAACTTAAGAAAATATTAAATAAAAAGTAAAAAGTAGGGAAAAAAGAGCCGTAGACATATGTTAAATACATACATATGCTAAAACTGGTTTATTGAGCTCAATTTACAACAACTCTCTCTCTCAAACAGGGTTACGAAATCAAAATTGTTCAGTAGTGTCAAGTACGGATAGGACTCCAAGAAATCTTCTTAACCCACCCTCTTAATTTATGATTAACTTCTCTTGAGTGATCCCCCGGTCAACTCCGTGAGCTGACATTAAAGGTTAAGGGAAAAAGTACGAAATAATTAGTAAAGATTTTTTTTTCGTCCATCACTCTAATGATCCTATGAATCTATGTCACAACCTTGCGGTTGATTGCTTCTGATTGTTTCTCAAAATGTGCGCTTAAGCCTGAGGAGAAGGCAGGACCTAGTCTCTTACCCAGACCTTCCCAGGCCAAGGCTTTAGCCAGACCTTCCACGGCCATGCCAAGCGGTTGTATATCTTTACACGTTAGAATCTGGGTACGAGATTAGGCTGGACCATGAAATGTTATTGCAAATACGAAAAACTTGAATTGACCTTTTAGCTTGGCAGATAGGGATGAATTTGCGTAACTTCTGGCATGAAAATGCTTTTTTTTATGAACAGGTGGCAGGAGCCCAAGTAATGGGCTCCTAACAGGTGGTAAACATTTCTTGCAAAAGTGTATTTATTTCTAGCATGCCTCGACTTCTTGCATATTGGCTGACGATATTTAACGTTTGACAGTGAAAATATTGCATTTTTGATGGTTGACGGTTTACACTATTGAGACCGTCATGAAGCGGTGCCTAATGTTGTTTTATTTCAGACGAGTAAGCATGTTTACGTTATCATCGTGAAACCGCAAGGATACTTGGGAATTATGAAAATCCCAAAAGAGTCCAAATGAGGACATGTGACAGTCGGGTGAAAAATAAATGGTTTCACGTGTACGTTTTTTCATATCTTTGGTGCTAAGACACGCTTTGCAGTAAGTTTATACAGGTCAAACGAGAAAACGCAAGCTTTCGAGCTAGCAACTAAGTCATGTTGGGAAGCTTTCAAACTCAGTTAAAAGCCCTGGCGTTAGGCGAAGGTAAAGGAGATTTTTCAGTGACAATTCTCAATTTCTGTTGCGGTGAAGCTAGTAAGCGTGTTATTTGCCTCAGAAAGCGATATACCTCGTCATACTTATAATTGTTCCTTTCGAACCTTTTTAAAAATATTTCATAGCATCTCACGCATTGAAAATGAGGACAATTTTAAACAAGCAACACATGTCTGTCCATTTCATTTTCCTGTTTCAGTTTCCCGTTTAGTCCAGAAAATAAAGGCGTGCGAAAGCAAGTCATTGACAGCCGTAAGTTTGCCAAGAGTTGAAATTGTATTTTTATACATGAACAAACTTAAAATCTGAAACAATGAGTTAACGGAAGTCCACTGCCTAAGCTCGAGAACAGTTTTCATCTCATCGAAAACAGTATAAGTACAAACTCAAGGAATTGTTTGCGCCAAAAACATTCAACTAAATGAGTCATGTCACAATTTTAAGTTGGATCCCGATCGGTGTAATCTTTATTGCCATTTGTGCCAAAAAATTTGTGAAAAAAACACCGAATTCAAGTTCTTTTTCCGTTGTGGCGGAGCGGAGAGCGAAATTATTGAACTCGTCCGAGGAAAGTGTTTTAAGAAATACAAGGAGGTCTTCAACAAATTCGGTTTTCCTCTCTATGGTTTTAGAATAATTTATTTCGTCCGTATTGGCCTTTTTTTGTGCTTTTTATTCCCAACTAATGGGAACTACAGTCGATCGACTTGTCACAAAAAACTCTCCGTGAGACAGTGCGTTTTAGAGAAAAAAACTTTTCGTCGCCAACTGTTCTCAACCATCCACAAGACTTGTTTTAGGAGTTCTTTTCATCATCCTACAAAAAAGTTGTTTTATCCTTTAAAGTTTTCAGTCCTCCATGTTTGACTGTTACTTAACTTCTGAAACCAATCAGCCTAGGATTTCAAATGACGCCACCCAAATCTCTACTTTTCTCGAGTGTATCAATCAACAAGCAAGCAAAAAAAACCAGTTGCACGAAAAACCTAAACTGAAAGAAGAAGGACACGAACATGAAATTGTTCCTTCACAGCCAAGAAAGTATGAACGCTCTTCGTTCCGGAGCGAATTGCGTGAAAATTCTCAACAGAAAAAAGGAAAAGAGGAACATGAAATTGTTTCCCTTCAGTCAACAGAGCGTGAATACTTTCTGTCCCAAGGCGAGTTGCACGAAAACCGTCAACAGAAAGAAGAAAGAGACGAACATGAAACTGTTCCCCTTCAGCCAAGAGAGCATGAACACCCTCTGCTACAAGGCAAGTTGCACGAAAAGCCCCAACAGAAAGAGGGACGAGGCGAACATGAAACTGTTACCCTTCAGCCAAGAGGGCATGAACACCCTCTGCTACAAGGCAAGTTGCACGAAAAGCCCCAACAGAAAGAGGGACGAGGCGAACACGAAACTGTTCCCCTTCAGCCTAGTGAGAGTAAACACCTTCTGTCCCAAGGCGAGTTGTACGAAAAGCCTCAACAGAAAGAAGGAAGAGAAGAAAATGAAACTGTTTCCCTTCAGCCAAGGGAGCGTGAACATCCTCTATCCTAAGGCGAGTAGCACGAAAAGTCTCAACGGGGAGGGAGCGCTAAATAATCCGACCGAGTATCGTGCTACGATACTGTGAGCAAAGACCAAACTAATGAACTACCAAGAGAAAGAGGGAGAGAGGGGCCACTTCCGACCCCTCCCCTACAGTAGTTTCTCACCACTTCCCTCGTACATCTTTTTACTTACTCCATGCTTTCCTCGATCTTACCGCGTCATGACGAGGCTTACATTGCTAATAAAGTGTATTTTTCTTCTGTTATGAAAGAAAATGGCATGATGACTGCAATGGCCGAGAAGTGCGCAAATAAGCCGCGTTCAGGGACGACTACTGCAAACTAAAGTTGCTCGCACAAAATTGACCGATCCAATAACATTAAACCAGCAATGGATTCTATTTGAATCATTTTTCATCTTTTCTTGCTTTGGTCCTGGTCACCGGTAATTATCCGTTTCCTAAAATGTAATTTGTTGTTTTTGCATAAACGACTTCGGTAACTGAAGTGGCCTGTTCGTTACGTGAACACTAATTGCGTTTCTAGCTGGTGCGTTACTCAATTCACTGAGTAGAGTAACACAATAACCAGTAACGGATTTAGTGACACTCATCAGTCCCAGATGAAGGACTAAAACATTTGCCTTAGCATTTCTTAACTACTAAGTTTCAACTAGGTTAGAACTCTGTCACAATGTATTGAAAGAACGATGAAAACAGCGTTTGTGTAAAGCAGTTAATCAGACGAAGCGAAAAGCTGCTGTAATCGTAATTGAACTCAAATATTTCATGAAACTGTTAAAAATTGAAAAGTACTTAAAGCAATCAAGGAAATCGAAATTTCTGACTTGGTCCAAGACAAAACATCAGCCTTATCGTGGATTCTGGGATTAGGACATCTCTGAGATGCGTTAACTGTTTCTTGTTATCTTTTTGACAGCGCCTGCGGGAAAGATGAAATGAATCTTGTATTCTGATTGGCTATTCGTCTTGCCCGCTCGTAATACTTATTTTGATCAGGCGGACCTAGGCTGAGGATTACAGCTAGAGTTGTCGCGTAGAGAGGTTATGTTTGAACAATACTGGCAATAGATTCGCAAAAAAAGTTGCAGAAGGTAGTCAAAACTATGGAAGCTGATAAGGGACAATTCCAAAATATATTTGAGATCCAAAACAATATTTTTCATCGGAATTTTTTATTCGGATCCTTTTTTGGAAAGTTTTCCAATCTGAAAAACATGAAAAATGTTTGAAATCGCCAAAATATTTTTGCAAAGTACCACTTGTGCCTGCGGTCAGTTGGAGTCCGAGGCTTACCGACGTTGCCGCTATTCAAAATGACGGACTAGTTTTAGTAATCATTTTTATGATAAAAGTAACAGTTCTCCTCACCCAAATGATCGTGTCGTTCAGATTTCTCGAGATGGACAGCATGTAGGCATCTTCAAACAGTTTCGTAACGTTTTTACACTCTCAATAGTAAGAGCTCCCTTAAATTGCGATACATTTTTTTCTTGTCCATATTTTATTAAATAAATAATAATTAAATTAATTAAAATTTATCTTCTTTTGGTGAAAATAAAGTATTTCTTGTTGGAACCGATCCTGCTTGAACTGCAGTTCACTTGCCTCTTTCATTGACTAATGGGACAGAGCGTCTTTTAGAAACAAAATAATTTTGTCTTCAAATGTACTTTGTTGCAAGGTGAGGTACAAGTCACCTAGGGTGGTTATCTCAACTCGCGCTCTGTATGTCTTGCTGCTTACACCAGTTACCTGTCAGTTTCAGTGAAAAACGCGTGGAATTATAATGTGGGTCAACAGCCACCGAAATATTTTTAACACTCCAATTTTCATGAAACAATTATCAACACGAGAGAGCATGATTTACAGATATCGCAAGCAGTCAGGGTATGCGTTATGCTCCATACATCACTGTGATGGTTAACGACTCGTCACGCTTTACTTAAGCTTGAACCATTTCAGAGAAATCGCCGTTGGCCAGAATTATTACAAACTGAATTGCCTCTTACAGAACAGATGGGTGTGCGTCAAAGAACAGGCAGATGTGCATCAAAAGTTCGATTGTTTTGCATACTTACTAAACACTGATGCGATTGATACGATGCTCAGATACGGCCGCAGGATGTATTTCGAAAATTAGAGGATAAAATACCATAAAATGAAATTTGGTTTATTAATAGATCTCTTATTCGATGATTTAACAAATAATACGAGCGGAATTTTTCATATTGCTTAAATGTTTCCTTGCCCAAAGGCGCGCAAAAAATACCACACAACTCGCGAAAAGTCCTTACATTGATAGAACTTATATGATATTAATTATATTATACGAGAAAGTGAACAAGAACGACTGAAAATCCTCTTTTAATGTAATCTCTACAGTAGTTCTCTTTTTTGCTGAAGAATCCAACCCACTTTCTTGTTCAAATTACTTTAAACCGACGGAAGAAGATCTCATTACTCTCAAATTCCTTTCCATATTTAGGTAGGCAGAACATCGTTAATATCGTTAAGACATAATGTTCTCAACTCGTTTCTCAATCTCGCGCTCCTCCGTCATTTTTAATAGCGGTAAAGTTGGTACGCCGCTTGGCACAAGTAATATTTGCCAAAAAAAAACATTTGCGATTTCAGGCATTTCTCCGGTGAATTTCACGAAGAATCTTGGATCGCAAATTATTTTGGGGTCTTTTTGGAAAATTTATTTTTGACTCCAATAATTTCATCAGGATTTGTAATTGGTTTTTGGATTTGAAAAACTTTTTAGAAAGGATAGAAAAATATGATTAAAAATATTTTTTTGGATTTCAAAAATATTTTGGGATTTTCCCTATCGGCTTCCATACCAAAACAAATAAAGGATAAACAAGCATGCTTCATCTCATATGAGTTTCTTTTCCAGTACTAGAAAATGAGAAAGTCATTCTTTTGCTATACGATAAATCTGTTATAGACCAAGCTTTTTCGGTCAAGATCGCAGAATATTAGCCTCGCTCTTTTTCTGCGTTTTTATGAACCTAGTCTGCGTCTTAAAAGAGAGTTTTCAATGACAATTGGCAAGTTTTTTTTAGTGAAACTAGTAAGCGTGATTTGCCTCAGAAAGCGAAATTTCTTCCCATATTTGTAAGTGCTCCTTTTTCCCTCTTTCAACAAGTTTTCATTGCATCTCACGCATTACAAATAAGGAATATTTGACACGAGCAACTCGAAGGTAACCATTTCATTTTCCTGTTTCAGTTTCCAGTGTATTTTACAATACAAACAGTATTGAGACGATGGATACTCTTAAGGAATTATTTGGGCCAAAAACATTTAACAAAATAAGCCATTTTACAGTTTTAATCTGGATCCTGATCGCTGTGATCTTCCTTGGCATATTTGCCGCCGTGGATAACACTGAATTCAGGTCTAATTTCCACTGTGACGGAGCGAAGGGCGACATCACTGAATTCAATCGTGGAAAATGTTTCGATCAGTACGAGGGGAAATACAACAAATACAGTGTTCCTATCTATGGCTTCGTGATCATCAATTTCCTCTTTATTGGAATTGTTTGTCTTATTTACTCTCAAGTGGTGAGACCTACAGTCGATCAACTGTCGCTCGACCAAACTGGAAACAAGCTTTTTATCGCTTATTGCTTTCAACTATCCTTAAGACTTGTTTTACGAATTATTTTCATCATCCTACAAACTCAGTTGCTTTATCCTTTGAATTTTTCCACTAACTTTTACTGTGATTTAACCGATGGAACCACTCAGCTAAGGAATTCATGTAACAGCACCCAAAACTCTACTTGTTACGAATGTAACAATCAGCAGGCAATCAAGAAAACTTTCTGGTTAAACGCTGTCCTTGCAGTAAATGGAATTTTTGTCCTTGTAATTCTGATTGAAACCGTCTATATTTTGTTACGGGCATGGAAAGAAAGAAGTTTTATGCAAAACTCAGAGTTTCTTAGAGCACATCTAAATCCCCCCAGTAGCAATTCGCACCAAAAACCACAAAAGCAAGATGACATTATCCCACGACAGCCAAGAGAGCGTGAACATCTTCCTGCCCAAGGCGAGCTGAACGAAACACGTGAAAAGAAAGGAGGAGGTGACGAACATGAAACAGTTCCCCTACAGCAGGGAGAGCATGAGAATCTTCCCACCCAAAGCGAGCTGAACGAAACACCTGAACAGAAAGAAGGAGGTGACGTACATGAAACTGTTCCCCTACCAGCAGAGCATGAGAATCTTCCCACCCAAGGCGAGCTGAACGAAACACCTGAACAGAAAGAAGGAGGTGACGTACATGAAATAGTTCCCCTACAGCCAGGGGAGCATGAGAATCTTCCCACCCAAGGCGAGCTGAACGAAACATCTGAACAGAAAGATGGAAGTGAAGAACATGAAACTGTTCCCCTAAAGCCAGGAGAGCATGAGAATCTTCCCACCCAAGGCGAGCTGAACGAAACAACTGAAAAGAAAGAAGGAGGTGACGAACATGAAACAGTTCCCCTACAGCCAGGAGAGCGTGAGAATCTTCCTACCCAAAGCGAGCTGCACGAAACACCTAAACAGAAAGAAGGAGGTGACGAACATGAAACAGTTCCCCTACAGACAGGAGAGCATGAGAATCTTCCTACCCAAGGCGAGCAGAACGAAACACCTGAACAGAAAGAAGGAAGTGACGTACATGAGACTGTTCTCCTCCAGCCAAAAGAGCATGAACGCCAACCGTCCCAAGGCGAGCTGAACGAAATATCTGAAGAGAAAGAAGGAGGTGACGAAGATGAAACATTTCCCCAAAAGCCAGGGAAGCATGGGGATCTTCCTACCCAGGGCGAGTTGAACGAGACACCTGAACAGAAAGAAGGAAGTGACGAACAAGGAACTGTTCCCCTACAGCCAGGAGAACGCCAACCGTCCCAAGGCGAGTTGAAGGAATAACCAGAAAAAAAATTGGGAGGTGACGAACATAAAATTGTTTAACTTCTGTTTATTTAGCCTCGATAGCTCTAGTCTGCACTGTAAATTTATGGCGAGCGAGCGCTAAATATTTGGACCGAGTAATGTTTCACCATACTGTGAGCTTAGTAAGATCGAGGAGAGCTAGAAACAAAATAGTCAAATAACGAGGGATGGACCTTCCCGGACCTAGGGACCCCCCTAGTACATCTTTAAGCTTGCTCCCATTCTTCCTCGATCATACTGAGGCTTAAGAATACTCTGTATTAGTCACTACTGTAAACTGACGTCACTCACACAAATACTGCAATTCGGTCACGGGAAACGAGCAGTGAATTCTATTTTAACAATTTTTTTATTGTTTCTTGCTTTGGTCCTCGACATTAGTAATTACCCTTTTTATGATGTGATCGGTTAATTTTAGTTAAACAAGTTCAGTAACCGAAGCGGCCGGTTTGTTATGAGGACAGCAACCGCGTTACCGGCTGTTGTTACTCAGTTCACTGAACCAAGTAACACAACAGCTAATAACTGATCTATTAATCAGTCACAAACGAAGAACCAAAACATTGGTCTCAAGCTTTTCTCAAGTACTAAGTTTCAACTAAGCTCGAACCCTGTCACAAGGCATTAAAAGAAGCAGGTAAACAGTTCTTGTGTGAATCTGCCTTAGAGTAAGCTAAAAGCCTCTGTAATCGCAATTGAACACAAATATTTCATGAAACTGTTAAAATAAATATGATTTCAAGAACTCAAGGAAATTTATGATTTGGTCCTGACAAAACATTTCTTCTATGGGATGGGATTAAGAGTTCTCTAGCAGTACAAATTTCAAGAATCGAAAAAAAAAAAGATTCTGGGGAAAAAGTTGACCATAAAGAAGTCCATAAATAAGAAAGAAATAAGAAAGTGAGTCTGTCTTGCTTTGTTAATTTTTTCGCTATCTAGGATTTTATTTTAGACCAGCCCCCCGCCGGCGCTTACCTAAAAGGACCTAGTTGTTCGAAGGCCGATTAGAGCTAGCCCGGGGTTAAGTTTTAATCTGGGTTTCTTTATTCCCTTCTTCAAAGGCCTATTTCAGGTAATTTCTTCAATTCTTTTTAGAACATCCAGGCATCAAATTGTAAACAAAAAGAATTATAATGCATATTCTTTGAAAGCTTTCAGATCTGAGGTCGGATTTCACGCTAACCTTGGCTTGGGCTAAGTTGTTTAAAGCTGGTTTAAGCTAATACACAGCTTAGTTTCCAAGCTCTCTCTCCTTTACGTTCCTTTTCTTTCGCTCTGCGCGGCGGGATATAAGAGTGAATCTTAGAAATAGGTTTTATTTAGCCCTTTGAACAAAGTGGATTTGTTGACCGGAGCCTTAAAAATACAAACTAGACAACTAAGGTTTTTCATTCTTTGTTTCATTACACTTCTAAACCCATATTTTTAATCTAGGTCGGAATCTTGTAGCCTGTAAGCTATTTCATAAAGAAGTTCTCTTGACTGCGGCATGCTCATTAGATTCGCCAACAGTTCCAATTCATCCACAAAATCTTCGGAATAAGTTTTGTTAGCAAATTTCAGCAAACGTGGAAATTGACTTCGGATAAAGTAACTTGTGCATAATTTCCACTGAAAATAAGTAAAATGTTTCTCACTGGGCGTGGGTTCAATCTGCGGCGGCGGAGGTATGTAAGGTGGAAGAAGCCCTAGAATACCTTTCAAGTAGTTAGTGATGAAGTTTATTATTTCATATTCACTTTGTTGAAAGCGTTCATCTTCTCGAGCCTCCTTGAATCCGATTGTGATTATTGTTAGGATAATATTTAGGATTAAAAAAATGTTTGCACATGTGAACATGTAGGTGAATATTGGTCCCACCTTACTGGTAACAGCCTGACCAGGTGATAATAACCGGAAGCTAAACTTCCCTAACAACATGGCGATCATACTGTGAAATGTTGCAATAAAGGTACTGAAAACCTCAGCAACAGTCTTGAGCATGCTGTACGCCCAGTACGTGAAGCACATAATGCTTACGAAGAAAACAAAGGCGAATCCGGAAATATCTCCTCGAATCCTAGACAGCGTATTATAAAATATCATGAAGTTCTTGTTAAACTTGAGAAACTTTAAGAACTGTATCGTAGGAATAAGGACAATCAAACACGAGAAGTACGCAATGTAATCGTCATAAAAAGCCACCGTCAGGAAGCCGTAAAACGTGTCAGGGTTTTCGCGTAGCGCTTCAATAGCGCTGTTGAGGTGGCTTGCGCGGCATGCGTATAAAGCGATAGTCACCAGCGAGAATAGGATAAGGAAAATATCAGTGAGGTTCCACACGGATCTGAAATAACTCCAGCGATCTCGGTAAATAAGACTCCCCACTCGGTAAATAAGCTGTACCACGAAGACAACAAATATTATCTCACTGACAAGATAAATGAACTGGAGCGGCGTAAAGTAGCGGTACAAGCGAAATGAATACATATCAAAACGTGGAAACGTTCCACCGAACGAGGAAAATTCTATTGAAAATATCACCGCTGATAATATGTTAACGTTTACGTTGTAGACTGAAAACTCTAAGAAAACCACCCTTGTTAGGTCATCCACCCACTGATTTGCCTCTAGAGAGTTAAGAAGATCGATTGCCATTTTCATATCCGTCCCCAGGTAAGCGATATACCCACCACCACCGAACGCACGTCCACTGCGTCCCCACGTCGTGTATGATGTCTTAGATTCTCTCCCGCTAAGGTATTTCCATGGAGAAGTAAAAGTTTGGTTTGGTGGAGACATTGCTCTTTTTTCCCACTCTTGGCTATAGTCACCAGTGTCTTCATTATGTTCAGTCAAGGAAACTGGAGTACACTTGGAAAAATAATTTTCAATAGAGCCCGCTAGGTGGCAACTTGCTGAAATAATGAGAGAAGGCTTAGTAATGAGAACCAGACAGACCTACGTCAAAGAAAAGAGGTAGGACCCAGGACAAAAGCCGAGTGCAAAAATGAAAGCGAACGCCAGATCTGGGAATCAAACTGAAGACACAGCGGGAAAAGGAGGGGGCGGAGACAGGTCAACTTCCAAAACTGTGGACAATTTATTCAAAATCGATGAAATAGCATTTTATTTGTGGAAAGATCTGGGAAGCATGCCTACTGGCTGCTCTTTCAGATAGCTCTGATATACACCCTTGATCTGAGTCAAACCGCGGAGATCAAGGATCTATGATTGTCATTTCTATGTTTTCAATTGTGGATCAAAAGTTATAAGAATGCAGCTCGATTTAAATCATGATCATTGAGATACTTCAAAAGAAAGTTACTCACCTCCTGGTTTAATTCTTTGTTGTCGAAGAATTGCAGTCCCCAGCAGGAAGCTGTACCCATCGGCAAGGAAATGTCTTCTGCCTTTCCTAAGCATTCCCTCAAGAGGCTCATGAAGCAGCACGGGGATTGTATCATTTGCAAGCCATTTCCAAAATCTTTTACCGTTGTTTACCTGACAACACAGGTTGAAATCAGGGGCATTAAATATTGATGAAAGGACGACAGATAAGTTTCTTACAATAATCTTAAAGATAACTCAGCTGTAACCAGCTGAGCAAGAACTTAGATGTAGCTTACATGGCCGGCGTGACTAAGGAAAGAAGGAGACGAAAATTATAGAATGAGAGTGATCTTTGGGGATTCTAATGATCGCTCTCTTAGCTTGAATAACTCAGTGGGAGTTAGACAGGGTAATTTAGTATTATCAACTGAGTTGATTACGTAAATTGGCCACTGTAAATAGTTTCAAAGCTGACGTTTCGACCGTTAGCCCTTCGTAAGCGGGATTGCGCAGGGCTGACGCTCAAAACGTCAGGGATGGAGGTTGGGGGGTTTTGATTGGTTCCTGATAAAATCTTCCTAATCCTCTCATAAGACCCTTCTTGTGATGCTCCCTGATTAGCTGTTAATTTGCGGTCAATTTTCTATAATCACCCCGAGTTATGTTCTGTTGGCGATAACTTGTTCCCTCTCCATTGCCCCTGAAACACATGATCCCTCCTTCCCCCGCAAAAAATTCCTCCGATCCCGAGGAAAAGTAACGAATGGACCCTCAGCTAAATTATATTAATCAAATAAAATTTCATGTTGAAACATAATTACCCCACGTGTGAAGCTGTTGGTGATGTTGAGGGAGTGCTCCAGGCCAGCTCTTATAGGATAGGAAGAAGAATCCCTATTTCCAAGGGAAATAAAAATTAACAGCCCTAGAAACAAAACGTTAAAACAAAGCATCTTTAGCACGTCTTCCAATTCCCTGTCCTTCCCAGCCTCCTCCTGCGCTTTTTGTATCTCTTCTTGAGTTGGGGGCATGGGAACTGGTTCATTCTCATCCTCATCGACTTCATCAGCATAATACGTTGTCTCCTGTTCCTCATTAACCCAGACTTTATTTTCAAGTTCATTTATCAAATCCTCTTCTTTCACTGGCCGTTTATACCAAACTGAAAAAAAGATAGCTTGCACGACGACATAAAATGACTCCAGGACAAAAATTTGGCCAACGATCGCAATTCCAAACGTCACAAGCCACGACCTTGTTAGTGGGGCTGACCATTTAATTCCAATTGCTATAGCAACGACGAATGATATGAATGGAACAACAAAGCAATGAACTTGATTGGCCCTACTGAAAATCTCGTTCAATCTGGGCGAAGCCCTCACGTTTGGTTTCTTAATGCTTTCGCCGTCGACGAGATGTTTTGGAAATGGAAGGCTTATCCATATGTTTGGAATTTGATCGGGATTTGTTAAACATGCAGTCCAGGCGACTGACTCCGGCCTACTCTCTTCCTTTTCTTCTTCAGCGAGTTTATCAGATGTCTTAATTTCTTCTATTTCTGAGTTCCAACGACTCTCCTCTAAACGTTCCGAGCCACAATGCTCTCTTAAAAACCTGTCCTTTAATCTACCTTGAAAAACATGCGAGTTTTCATCCAAGACCTTAAATAGCTCTTCTTCAGCTGATAAATGCCCAAGAATATCAACCAAATCCTCGAGATCATGGGCTTTGTTCGAAGATGCATTTTCATGGGATCCTTCTATTGATTGACTTTCATAGACATCCAACGCTAAATGGCAGTTTTCGTTATTGAATTGAAGATTTTCTTCGTCGTTAGTCTCGCTCTGCAGTTCTTGATAGTTACTAAATTCCAGGTGGATTCCACTTGTACTGTTATCTGAACTGGATGCGTTTTCATTATCCGTATCAGTATAAGAATCAGGGCATTCACCTTCGTCAGCTTTCATAATCTCATCTAAAAATATGGTCGAGTTTATCTCTTGTAATCTATCTCGAATATATCCTTGCACATTCTTCTCTCCAACTCCCATTGTAGCGTTTTGATGTGAACATAAGAACAGACTCTGTATCAACAGACGATAAATAAAAGCAATTCCACAACAGACGAGAGCTCTGTAAACATCGCCTAGGTTCACTTTCCATGGCCCTAGTCTGATTTGTGAATCGCTAAATAATTTCTGTGTTGTAAAAACCATTGCTATTGAGACGAGTTTCATCATTCCAGTCACTGCTAGGCAGCACGACATTTTCTGAAATTTACCAAACGTTTTGCTATTGCTTTTGTAAAGTAGAGAGAGCCAAAGATGCTTTTTCTTTAAACTGTAGTCCATTTTACCTTCAAACATGGTTAAAAATTTAAGAAGAATCTTTCTAGGTATGGGTTTTAACTTGCATTCAACTTCCTTCGAGCCCGTGCTTACGTCTAGCCAGCGGTTTGCCGCAAAGTACCATGTAACATTTGTGTTCAAATGACAAACTATGACATCCTCTAAGAACCACGAAGGACGGGGGCCCGAAATATCATGCCATATATGAATTTCTCGTATTTGGTCTAAAGAGCAGTTTAGTGTCACTAGGAAAGAACTTGTAGATGAAGGTTGAAACATTGGGCGGTCCGGATCCCGTAAAATGATAGGTTTTGTCTTACGGCGGTTACCGTAAATTCGGCAGAACACATTTGCAGTAGTGGAACTGTGCCGACCAGCTCCTGTGTAAAACATAAGCAGGTAATACTGTGGAGAGCGGTGAATTGATCTCTGTGGGATGACTGTGACACCACACTGTAAAACAAGACAGGCATTTTACGTATTTAACTAAGACCACATTTTCAAACTCGCGCCGTCTTTTTTATTTCATACCGTCTTTTTTTTTGTCATGACTTGAAGAGAAAAACAAATTATGACAAAAGTTGAAGGGAAACTTTGTTAGAAACTTTTGCTTTAACATTCATCCGCTTCATTTAATGTAAGAAAGAGATTTTTCCAAAATTTAGACTTTCCTTTTCATAGTCGAATGCTGATACTGAAATATGGAGAAACGCCAGCGAGTTTGGGAATAAGTTGGGTTTAACAGAGAGCATGGAGAGGATTGGTTTAAACTGTCTTTTTGGTTTTGAATGCGGTAGATGATTAAAGAAAATGATCGCTCTTTTTTTACAATTCTTACCATTTTCTCCTCCCTGTGGTCTTTTTTTCGGGCATAGAGTGTTCCCAGAATAAGGAGCACTGTGGTTGTCGTTACGACCCCAAGAAAAACAAACATCATTTCATTCTCAGATTTCTCTCGAGGTTCCTCCAGCT